CTCACCAATCGCTCACTGAGAGACAGGGAGGATGAGATCTTCCAGCTGTGACATGTTGTTGCTGCTGTCTCTGTGATCATTAAAGGAAACGCTCTCAGAAAGCCACGTCGCAGGGTTCAGCCGTATAATTGAGCATCGCAGACAAAGGAACAGCCTCACTGATCCTGCTGCCGTATGGACGTTTCAGCCATATAATGTAGACCGTTATACAATGGGACGTTACACTGTCTTTTACAACGAATAATGCACGTATGTAGCCTTCTCATTTATTTGTTGACAGTAGATCAGGGGCCTCCACCAAGTAGCTCTACCTGTTTGAGTGGCTTGCTGAAGGTTAAACGATGACGCAAAGTCGTTTTGTTTCAAAGTCACAGACATCCCGCCCCCTTTCTCACGTAACGTTTGACGATGTTGGCGGACCAGCAAGCACACAGCAGATTTAACTATGACTACAGAAAACTAGGCCAATAAAAGGCAAACCGATATTATTTTAATGAGGAGTGGGTTGCATAGTTTATATTTTTTTCACAATTGTGAATGATAAATGCTCGTGTCTCCTTTGCGGTGCGAGCGTGTCGGCACAGCAGCTGTTCAGGACTCTCTGGCTTCTAGTTAGCTTTGTTTACCAAAGTGACGAGGAAGGCCAGAGGCTTCCTTTGGTAACGCAACGCAAAAAAGCCTTTTGCCAATAGCAGGACTGAGATGGAACGTTTTTAAAATGACCATGAAATTAAGACGGGAGTTACGTCTGTTATTGACGATGTACAACGCGGTGCTGTGAGGAGCTCTCTGCTACTTTCATTTCTTCAAGTTAGCTGTCGGAAGTAAAAAAGGTTGGATTGTAGCTCATGAAGAGCTTCATGTGGCCCGTAGCCGTGTTTGGCTTGTTTTCACGAGCGAGCGTGAAATGTAAGAATGACAGTCACATGCTTGTTCAGTCACATACGTTAGTTCATACGGTCATAGTTGAACTAACGCATGTGAACTTAGAACATAGAACTTAGTTCATAGTTCATACGGTCAACTCAACCAGCGGTCCCAGTGTGACGCTATACCTCACAGCCTGACGCTGCAAACGTCGGCCAGGTTTTCAGACTGAAGCCTTTCAGCCGAGGCAAGAATATGAATCATGTTCACTGAAATATTAAGAGCACAAAGTTCTCTTTGTTACTGCTGAAGAATATAAACGACAATGTAGTGAAAGTACAAGTGGCAAATCCTTCAGAGCGTATTTTGAGAAAAATCTTTATTATTTATGTGCATTTTTTTTTTATAGTTTCGTATTAGTTCATTTTAGAATGTAAAATGTTTTGATCCCGTGTGTGTGTGTGTGTGTGTGTGTGTTGTGTGTTGTGTGTTGTGTGTGTGTGTGTGTGTGTGTGCCGGCACAGAAACTGTTGACTCTGAAAAGCACTTGATATTTCAAAACCTCTTTTTGTAACTTTATAGTTGAACTAACTTTCCTCCTCGTTATCGCTCAAACAAATAAGAAAATATAAAAGCAATTTAAACGCTGTTATATATCCAGCCGTCTCTGTTGATTTTCATTGTCTTGTGTAATGTAAAACCAAAGAATAACACTTGTCTTAATCTCAGCCACTGTCTGTGATTCAATGTTCAGAAAAACACAAATTAAAGGATTAACATTGAAGCTCGTTCAGTCAACACCGTTTTAAGAGTCCAGTGTTTTTGTTCATGCTTCTAAACATGTGTTGAAGCAGAGCCTGCAAAGCGTTAATTACTCGTCTACCGCGGTGGTCATGTTCTCTATTGTCTTGCTGCCGCCTCATTAAAGACGCTGCGCTGGACCACCAGAGGGCAGTGCAGTGTTACAGTGGCAGTGCTCCCAGTGCGCTCTCTTTATGCACTCCTCCTCCTCTGCAGACACAACATCAGTAGTTCACAATGAAACATTTCAAGGTCTCAAGTATTTACACGAGATGACTATTCTTAATCTAATACAACAGCTAATGTAGAATAAACCGCTTTATATTCAAGTTTGGTCTGAACTTTGTCTGAAGAGACAACATTACAATATACACTATATATCACCTATAAAAACTTGAATAAGTCCACCAGCTGTGTTTGTATCCCACACGTTCTTTAAGAACCATGTGGCAGCGGCTTTGTTCTTGGGTCACTTGTCTTGCGTTGCCAGTCCTCCGCAGCATTAAGACCAGTCTTGGATACGTAATGCCCGTTGATCTCCCAGTGTCTGTTTCTAGGTCATATTGTCCCGTCCTCCAACAGTTTGTTGAGTCCTTTGCAGATCCTGGTGAGGTTGGGTCTGAAGGGGCCGCTGGGCTCGTACAGCTTGGTCAGGAGCTCCGGGTCCGAGTAATGGTTGAAGACGTGGTTGATGCGGCCGTGGGATTTGGGGGTGAGGTGGGTGTTGACCAGCTTCAGCAGCAGATCCCTGCAGCTGGTCAGGAGTTCTTCCATCACGGCTTTGTCAAAGGTGAAGTCCACCTGCAGCAGTCGGGGGGGGGGGGGGGGGGGG